AACCCGAAGTAGCTCAAAGTGTCCTCCCTGACATGAATTATCTGGTCACCCTACTGCTCACTCAGATGTTCTTTGAGGAAATATTTCTTTTTCTATATTCCAGGGAATCGTTTTGCTTTCATAAATGATGAATGTAATATTTTGTGCACAAGAAAAATAAGCTGCGGTATTAAACCAAAAAACTTGTAGGCTATAGGCTGGTCATTGTTTAAGAATCACCATGAACTCATCATTAATCATTGACCTAGTAAAGTCTGCATATTTTGTTTCCTCTATTTCTTCATATTGTCTGTTGATGAGAAAAAAGTTAAAATACATGAACCGTTATGATTGATTAGTGATGAAAAAACATGGGATCAGCAGGTAACTAATACTTAGTTTCTAATTAATTAATACATTAAGTAAGAGTGTACTACTACATTAATTGTGCCCTCAAGCAAAGTGTTACCTAGACAAAATATAGTCGTAGATCCTTATTTCCATTCATTAATAGTTACCTCGCTTTATTTAGTGGACAAAGTCTGATATGATTTAGAAATGATTCTTATGCAGTGATTTTGCCTCTGCTTTGGAACAGAACCTCCCACTCTGTAGTGAAACAATACTGCAGTTCCCACCAGGACAGTGAATGAGAAGACAGAACAGCAGGTTTTTGCCTGGCCAGCAGTTCCACTGGAGTTACTAGGCATGCTCTGCACCGGAAATTAAAAGACAAGCAGTTTCATTTAAAATATCTCCATTTTTTCCCATGATTTCAACAAATAACAGATTTTTTTTTCCCTAAATGATGGTTAATGATGAATGGTTAGTGAAGAAATCGCGACTTGTGTTTGTGATCAAAACAGATACTAGATAAAACACTGGCCCAAAGGGACAAATGATTTGCAAATCATATTAGGCCTCAGGATTTACAATTGTGTTAGCGATATATGCCCACCCTGGAGTTTAAGAAATGTGAGGAATTGAAGGTCAAGTTTACAACAAGGGACTCTACCTCCAAGGATAGCAAATGTGAGCACGGGATGGTAAAGCAGTGGGGTCAAGGGTCAAGACTGTATTGGTAGGACCCATGTTGCCGGCCTATGTCAGCCACGGAGAAACAAACTACCATAGAGGTAATTGAAGTATTCAGGTTGACAAATGGCCAACAACTCCATGCCTCTCATCATTATCAACAAGGTGTCATTAAGTCTGAAATCCCTGTCAAATGAAACTGAGCAAAGAGAGGAACCAGGATATTTCAGGCATCTTTAAGTTTAGTCCTTGTCAAGTAAGCTGTCAGGCTAGCAAAAGTCCTCAGTTATTTTACCCCAGGCTGTACCTGATGTGTGATAGAAGAAAGCAGATTTTCTTTTTCCTTTATGGACCAGACAATGAAATGTTATTAAGCATCCTAAAAGTCAAAGAAGTTTTTGAAAGAGCTTTTTCAACCTCAAGAGGATCTTGTAATGCATTTAAAAAAACTTCTGTCTAAACTCATATCCATGAATAATCAAACAGGAAGTACATTAAAGTGCATTGAAAAGACTGTGTGGAAATGTGTATTTGGGAATAATTTCCATTTGTACCACATACAAATTGGAATATAGTTGAACATTTTTTGGTTAACTCATTCTTCTTTGACATTGTTTTGGGGAAATTATGTAGTATGTCCAGCTTATGCTAGATTTATGTGGCTAAAATCAGTTTGCTAATTACCAATATTATTTAATGGCAGCTCATTCTCCTTAATACTGTCTTCTTTGCATATATAAAAGCATTTTCCTTGGTGGAAAAACAATCTGCAATCCAACACAGACCATTTGTGGGCCACGTGAACCCTATATGGGCACTTATGGTATCAGTTAACTGTGCAGAACAGTGTGTGGAGGACTCTGACAGGCAGGATGATTTATAGTGCAGTAACTCTAGGACGTGTTCTGTCAAAGCAGGACAATACACAGGCCAGGGATGGTATCCTGTGATTCTGCGACACTGACTTTTCTAAAAAAAGAAGAAAATGTGCCAGTGTTTGTCTGGTTTATATCCTGGGTTCTTTTATGAAAAGCAAATAAGAATACAAGAATTTGTACTGGTTGCAGTGCAGCAATCCTAGTATTGTCGTGCGTGCTGTTTGGATGAAAGTGCAAAGCAAATACATTTTCAGGGGAAAACTACTCAGAATGGATAGTAATATGCATTCAGTGGGTACACCTACCTTAGTACCAAGTAAGACCCATTCTTGGTGCTACATCCACTTTGGGCTTAGACAAGTTGTATATTCAAAGAAGCTTTTAGAGAACCATTCAGAGCACCATTGCTGTAATGAGCCATGATTCTCATACGTTTCCTTTTTGTTAGCTTTAATGCGTCTGACCATTCTCCACTGATATTATTATGGTGTTTTTGCATTGACTGGAACTTTTATATACAGATACTGTAGTAGGCCTGGGCAGAGTATAAGAAAACAGTGTGCCGTTTTTTTTAATTTAATAATATCCAAATAAATGATAATACTGAGTCATCCAACAGCATCACCACTCACACAAACACACGCATGCACCCAACCAAAAACAAGCATGTAAAAAAAAATATATATATGGGTAATCCACTAAATAGTCAACATTAAAGCTTGCTGACTGCTGGCAAGGCTGATTGGCGGAATGACATTACATATCTTTTTTAGTCTCTAAAACCTTCTAATGCAGTTGTTCTCAAACTTTTTACCTGTGTGTACCATAGTTTTAGAACTACTGGTTTAAAGTCAATAAATGAATAAATTTAACCCAAATTTAAAAGATTGTATTAGTCCTCCAGACCACCCTATCTTTGGCCTCACAGAGACTGCTCTGTGCTGGTTTAACTCATACTAAGTGTCTTGTGGTACAGAGGTGTCTAAATCGCACTACATAACAACCGGAGTTCCCCAAGGCTCTGTCCTTGGTCCTCTGCTGTTCTCTCTTTACTTTGAGTGATCTGGCTTAGAGAGATAGTCTCTTGGCTTCTTTTACCACTCCTATGCTACCTGACCTTTTCTCCTGATAACACCGGGTCTCTGCTCAGATATCTGCATACCTGGCTGATATTGCAGCCTGGATGAGGGACCATCAAATCCAGCTTAACCTGTCCAAGAATGACCATCTTGTCTTCCCTGCCAGCCCTACCATGCACTGTGTCATCACTGTTCAGCTTGGATTGTCCACACTATCCCCATCAATGTCTGCTAGGAACCTAGAGGTAATGATAGACAACCAGCTGTCCTTTACCAAGCACATAACAGCGGTCTCCCAATCATGCAGATTTACCCTGTATAATATCAGGAAGATCAGGCTTTTTAGTATGCAGCTCAGCTACTAGTATAGGCACTTTTTACACCACAAATTGACTACTGCAGCACTCTATTAGCAAGTCTACCAGCTACCAGCAAAATGCAGTAGCACATCTGAAATTCAGTAGGCCCAGGTGTTCTCAAGCAATACCCCTCTTTGTCTCTCTTCCCTATCGGCACTCAAGTTTAAGTCCTAGGTGCTAGCTAACAGGTCCATTAATGGACAGGCACCCATCTCTATCAAATGTCTCCTCATGACCTATGTTCCATCTCACCCCCTTCGTTCAGCAAACCAACACAACATGAAGCTCCCTCCACCATGCGAGAAGTGTCACTCCAGGTGGTTCTCTTGTGAAGATCCTGGTGGTGGAATGAGCTCCTGTCACCAAACTCCTTAAGACCCATCTGTTTCATGAATTCTTTTACTAACCTGATTGTTCTTTGAATGCTCTTATGTTGCACATACTGCCCCTTGCATAGTCTTACCAGATTCTTTGTTAACAGTTATATGTAGTTGCATAGTTGTTCGGTAGCTCCTACTTCAGTACTGCTTGTACTTGTACCCAGGCATTTATTGTAAGCTCAGCCTAGCTGCACTTATGCCTATTTTACCCCATTACAGCATGAATGTTTGCAATGTGGTATGTGATGGACAAAAACATCCGCTAAATATGTAAATGTAGTGTAAGTCTATGTGGAGTTAAAATAAGTCAGATAGTAATAATGTCAGACTTCATCAAACATCAGTTTACCTGTCTGTTATCGTTAATTTCCAATAATATCATCAAAGCTCTCAAACCTACGCATTAGTAGGTAAATTCCAAGGGATGTGGCTGTTTCTGAGATGCTGAAACCAGCAAGGCACCAATAATCACACATTATTCAGAATCACTTAGGTCAGTCATCTTAGCCTTAGTCTAATGCTTAGCATTACAGTCTCTGTGCAGCCAGCCACATGCTTTCCTTTTCGGAAGAACCAGAGGTTTGCACTAACAAACAGATGTACTTAACAAACGGGACCCTGACTGTCTGTCTGTGCTACACATAGCATGGGGCTGGGCTCAGATGTGGGTTTATTTGTCTGTGACCTTCAACCAGCATGTTTGCTATAAATGAAGAACTTTTAGGTTCATAGGAACCCCTTATTATGAAGAAACCATTGAAGATGCAAGACCAGAATTCCACCATAACTCATTTGGTATTTCATAATTAATATCAAAGAAACCAACCAACTGGAGATACTGAGGAAGCTGGGATGTCTTCATTAAAAAAATTAAATACTTTTCCCCAGAAGTGGAGGTTTTATTTTCTGAACCTGGAACAGACACGTGGTTCCCATGCTGATTACATAATAAGGAAAGCTCGCATCAGCCTGAGTTTCAAGCCTTTCCGAACTGCAGTACGGCTGAGTGGATTTTTGGGACTTTGGAATGCCAGATTTAAGAAAATTAGTGGTCAAATAAATCTTTCAGACCAAATGCAAATAAATTGTGTAGTGAAGCACTGTATTGTATATGGGAGTGAATAGTTTGGCCATTTCTTTCTTGAATACACAAAGTCCCTGGGTGGTGCAGGGGTTCTATTTACCACGAATGCAAGATGAATGAGCAATACCATAAATGCTGACATCATGCTGTAATGGCTCAACTTTTAATGGAACAATAAGCATTATTATTTTTCCTTTCTCTCTCAGCTTGGAAGTCCCCCCTTGCTGGAGGAGCAGCTCAGGACACTGCTGGAGGACTGCATGCTGTCACTGAGGAGCGCATCCGTCTGTGGGTCCGTGGAGGGAAACGCATCCCCCAGGGCTGCCAGTGATGGGCCCAGCAGACGCCTGTCCACAGACTCTTTCTGATTGGCTGAGAAGTGGCTATGGTGCGGCATTGATTCTGCAATGAAGTAGCTCCTCCCTCAATGATAGTCCGGCCAGTCAGGTGATCCTCAAGCATCCTTAACATACTGTTGACAAAGTTAAAGGGCATTGCAAGGGATATTCAGCATACCTACATTCAGTACTTCAAACACACAGTCAGTATGCCAGCTGATCCAGTACAAGAGTGTTGGTATCACTGGATGATACTTGTGGATACATACCTGAAATGTATGAAGATTCTTTGATAGTAAAGGTATCCATTGTAGTTACATTAAAACTGATCATATTTATTATCAGAGGAATTCTGGATTAGCTGGCCAATGTTCAACTAAAAACTCACACTAGGTGATCCGTAAATGGCACGAGCACATTTGACCCCCAGAGTCCAGCTTGTTGGATTAGGGTGATCGCCATGCCAAGGCATGGTACGCTGAAATGCGCCCAGGCCTTCTTGAAGAGGTTGCCCTGGGCATGGTTCAGTTGGACTCGGGTAAGGTATGCATTTAGTGTGATCGCTAACTGTGTCAGAGCATGGAACACAGACATAATGACAGTAATGCAACTGCCACATGCATGCGCACAGGTACTCTATACATGAACAGAACCGGAACGATCAGCTAGCCTGTGCAGATCAGGTATCGACAAACATTTAACATGGCAGCAAAGGGATCACTTTGGCCAATGGCAGAGGTACAGTGTTTGCTGGAAATTTGGGCTGACAAGACTATCTAGGAACAACTGGATGCAACACACAAAAACCGAGATATCTGGAAAAATCTTATACGTGCAACACAATAAAACGAACACGATTGCATTGAATCCACAATAAATCTACAAGAGGGCCATTTGTCATCGTGCCCAAAAGGACTCCAAATAAGCCACAAAATAAGAACATTCATCATGAATTCCATTAAAAGTGTGATAGCACTTTTTTTCCTATGTGTTCTTCAAAGCAAAAAGTCACACGATGATGATGAAAGCATGCTAGGATCCAGAATGTTAAGCACAATGCAAGGGCAGACCAGTGGAGGAGTGGGGAGGGGGAAAGTCCTGCTCAGGCACGATGTAAGTGAACCGGGCCAAGTGTGAGTATCCCTTTAGCTGTATGAATAGTAACCTGTAATATACAATTCTCAATAAATACTTACAAACAACTACACAGTCAAAACAATTCCACAAGTGCTTCTTTTTTCAAAATGTAGTCCTTAATTTCCATAAAAAATGGAATTAAGCAGGAGCAATAACAGTTGAAAGAGGTCTGAAAGTTCCATTTATCTGCTATTATTATTTTTCATGGGAACTCCATTGATATAGCTATTCTGATAAGATTTCATGGGGGAAACCCAATGGGTAGATTCTTTCTGGTGGGCTGGTCAGAGAAGGGTAATTGGGCTGGAAGCAATGGGGTTATGGTGGCCATGATGTTCTAAGTGGCAAATGGGAACAAATGCATGGTGTAACACTCTGTCAGGTGAGCCATGCCAGTGAAAAGGGTGGCGAAGAAATGCCCCAAATTCCAGCCTCCACAGGTAAGTCTGCTTATCCTAAGGAAGCAGTCAGTGGGACAATTCTGTGGCGAAATGCTAGTGATCCCTGTTGTTCCTTTGGTAGCACACAGCACAATAACAAGAAAAACACAGCCATGTGCTTTAATGCATGGTTTCAAAGTGATTATGGTTGCTGAAATTATGATCGTGATGGAGAGAGAATGTTATAATTGACTGTTAGGAAACCACTTCTAGTACCAGCTGGCTGATCTTAAGAGCTTTGTTTGTACCTTGAGGCTAATAGAGAACTGTTTGGAGCATCTGGCCACAGCAGAACTGATGCCAAGCTTGGGGGTGTCGGGTTAATTCAAATAATAATTACATAAAGAAGGCCATGACTGCTACAGAGAAAAAAGTTTGGCTGCTATGACTTTAAATGTCATATCTTCCCCTGCAATATAGTAAAATCTTCAACATTTAATTCACAGGATAATTAGCAGGCTAAATTTTCGTGGTATTGATTTCACTTGACACAGTGGTATCTGAGGCATTTTACTGACATTAAGCTTTGTACTGCATTTGTATGTATTCAATGTTTATATAAAAAAAAGCTCTTGAATCGCAGAAGAGCGAGACTCACAGCCTTTCCTAACTGTGTCTAGGCGCCGAATGCCATGACGTGAGAAGGGAGTGTTCCAATCCTTTCTACACAAAATCCTTACCATTTCATTCCCGCTAGCCTGACGTACAATTCACAAGAGGCTGCCAAGTACTTCCCCATCATGCTTAGGGCTGGATTTCTATACTTTCCCTAGAGGGATGTAATTCTTACACTTGGGGGTCTCTCACATTGTTATGACAGCCTGTAGACAAGAGTGCCTAGAGGCAGTGTTACCAAACCAGAATCCAAAATCCACATTTGTTTTCCTCCCTTTGAGCCTTTGCTTTAGCAGCTTGAATACCTAACATCTTGTTGCATTTAACCAGGCAGTTCTCCTGAGTGTAACCCAGAATGGAATGCTTGCACTGCCTGCTGTCAGCTTTCCCTGGTATCCTCTGTGTGTGTGTGGGGGGGGGGGGCAGATGGGAAGGTTATAGAGGAGCCAGTTCTGTGAGTGCATATGACATGTTAGTACAAACTTCTGCAGTGATGTTTTTGACTTGAGGTGGCATGGAAGCCCAGTGTCTCTGTGCAGGTAATAGGAAGCCAGACAGCAAAGCCTGCCTCTTAGAAGAATGTGCTAGATAAGTGAGAAAGCATTTCCTCAGCTCCTTCATAGTTTGTTCTCACATGGTCTTAAAGTAAATACTTGGTGAATTAAACAGCCACAGCTCACCTGTGTAATGTTGACAGTCGAACAGATTTGGTAAATATGTGGCAGGGATCACTGTGGTTTGTCGATAAGTGCATAATTCTTTTGGAACTGACATACTATTCTCTGCGGACATTTCTGAGAAACTATGAGGGGTCTGAAGAGACTGTGAGGGGTCTGAAGAGACTGTGAGGAGTCTGAAGAGACTGTGAGGAGTCTGAAGAGACTGTGAGGGGTCTTTTTCCTTTTCCTAGTTGGGTGCTCTTGTGCATTTCTGTTGGAAAATGATGACATTCTCTCTGCAAATTCTCTCTGGAGTCTAACTGTTTGTGGTCTCTCAAGTTCAAGGGCAGGATCACTGCGATTGGGCATTATTTTCAGTGTGTAAGTGTTGACATGATGTATACTGATATATAATCTTTGAAGGCCTCCTGGATTAGTTTTAGAATATCTGCAAATGATCAAATGAACCTTTCTGTATTTTATTTAAGTGGTTATGAAGGGACTGAACATGGATTTGGAAAAGTGAATAGCAGAAGCTCAGAAAAAAATAGCCCATTCGGGAAGTTTTCCATTTTATGGACTGTTGTTTATTGTTCTGTTGTATGTTACAAAATAACTGGTATGAGTAAAAACAGCTTTTTTGTATGGCAAAACAAGAAAAAAATGTTTACAAGCATCACTAAATGTATAAAAAGGAAAGAAATTTAAACCAAAATGGGTAAAGAACAAAACATCCTCACGTCAGTGTGCAAACAGTTTATACAGATAGAAACGCTTCCACCTCTTGGTGCATCTCCTGATAAATTATTTAAATAGCATATATCTACACATGTATGAAATTACCTCTTAAAATAGCAAAGAGAAACTTAATAATTTATCCATTTAAAAGGCATTGGACATAATATAAAGCACAACATATTTATAAAAAACAGTCTCCCATTTAATATCTTTACTGTTGGGGATTTCTCTCCTACAAAAAATATTTTTTTACTATATACAGCATAAAATAAGTGTTCCACTACAGTAGCGCTAAATAGAGAAATTAACCAATTTGTATTCTGCTGCGGAAAGACACTCTTACGTGTTGCTGGTTCAATTCTACAACAACAATGAGGTAATATTTGTACATCCAACTTTTTCTTTGTTGTTATTTCATTTCTCTCAGAAATGTAAAGAAATGTACAGACACACAGGTCATACATACTGTGCAGGGGAGCAGTGCTTCTAGATTTGCTATTTGTCTTTTTGGATTGGGGAAGGCAAAGGGAACAAGATAATAATGCAGTCTGTTGCAGACTGGTCAAAACATGAAAGTCCCCATTTCCAGTTTCACTTTGGTTAGTGGGGAGTCTCATTGTTCGTTTTTTTTTAACAATAAATGGCAGACAAAGACAAATTCTGAACATCACAGTTCAATGCTGTCCTATCCATTGAGAGCAGACTTAATAAATATGGACCTATTTACAATCCAACAAACCACAGTCTTCTCAAAGACTGACAGGACGCCTGCTTTGAGAGTTAGGCCCACCTGTTCCACCCCCTGCCCCTATTTCCTTCTGAGCAATGATGAGTAAACACAAAGCAATAAATAATCTATAAATATTTTCCTCCATTTCATTGTTTTTATAAGCTTGATCTCTACATATGTTTTTCTTGCCACTTACTGCCTCCACTATTACTTTTTGCAGAAGAAGCCGATTTTATTTTGGCTCTCAGTCCAGTGTTTCCAATCCTGATTTTGCCTGACAAAATTCATTTATGCCTGGTTATGCAACCTAATTCTGAATGTCGAAAAGCCAAAACACCCGGACACAGAAATGCCTGAATTTGTGGCCCAGCCGTTGTCTTGTTTTTAGGCCCATTTCATATTATCTAATGCGAGGAACTACTCAGGAAATCATATCTTGCCCTGAGGAAAACTATGTTAACTGAACTGAGGAAACAGTTGACTGCCAGCCACATTACTACAGCAGCAATGGCGAAAACAACTAGGTTTGGATTTTGTAACGGGACGATTTCATGATAGTTCCTCTTTCTCAATCAAAAGAATAATCTGGGGTTCTTTAAATGGAGATGAATGACATATTAGGCTTTGAGAAAGCTAGCACATTCTTCAGCTACATAATTATAATGTGATACTTTTTTGGAAAACAAGGCAAGCTGGCTCTTTGTGAAAAACATACACACACACACACACTCAACACAATCACTCTTCCATGGTAACAGTCACTCCATTTTGTCCCTCAACAATCTCCAATGGGTCTCTGACCCATGTCCAGAAAAATATGAAATAGTCTTATTGCTTTCTTCATCCTCGAAACAAGTTTGTCCTTTTTAAAAATTTAGTCCACAGCAGATCTGAGGTTATCAATACTCAGTCTTTTCATGGGACCTCCATCCGAAGTGAAAAGCGGATAAGTTCTGAAGTGCATAGACATCTGTTGGAAGGGTTTTCCACGCAGAGCAGAGAAAGATAAAGAGCCTTTTAAGAGAGAGAGAGCTGTCTTCCCTTTCAGCAAAGCAATGCATTTTCTGCTCTACCTGCCTTTGGTGGAGGGGTCTAATCTTCATTTGGCAGTCAGCTGGTTTGTCCCAACGTCAAATTACCTTGAAGTTGATCACATGCTCTCAGTCCACCATTGTACTTGTTGCAGAAGAAAAGAGTAATGAGGATATGGTCCCAAGGCTTACAATGTAAAATTATATTTATAAACGAAAGGTACATTCTTCTGAAAGCCTCTCATTGGTGCATTTATGTGTCTGAAAGAAAACAGAATAAAAAGGAGAAATATTAGTGTTACGTAATTTCATGCAAAAAATTACAATTACAACTTTTGGACGAGCCATGCTGATTATCTTACCCCTGCATTCGTATTTGAGGTCGGAGAAGTACACCATCTCTTGAGAGAAGACAAAGAGACCTAGTCTTCCACCTGCGTATGTCTTGTCATAGATGCTTCCAGAATCCGCCATGATTTTCTTGCCTTCATACATAACAACTCTGAAATGGGAAAGACAATAGTTAATATTTAGTACATTTATTTTCAGAATCTGACTATGTGTGAGTTTAAAAATGTCTTGACACATCTCTTCTTAGTGTTTACCTGATGTGTCCTGTTCTTGGTCGGTGAGTCAAGTGCCACCTGTAAGCTGTAAAGTCTTTCCAGCCAATATTCTTAGGGTCATGCCAGAGGGTACGCACCTAAAGTAAAGGAATATAAAGTATAAATTAACCATTCTTTGTTATTTTGAAGGACTGTAGAACAATGAAAGTTTTCCTTTTTAACTGTCAGCTACCTGTCCATGGGTGTCCCCTGTGTGCCACAGAGCATTCCTCAGATGTTCTCCAGGTCCAGTTGTTGAATTGACCACCTTAATGGAAAGCCCTGAATATCCTTGAGCTTTGGTGGGAGTACTAGACCAGTAAGTTTGTGTAATCTGCTTCCACATCACCACATAAAAGCGAGCACTAGACTGGTAGCCAAACACAAAGCCAGCATAGTCATCATCTCGGTCAGTGTTGATAAAGAAGGTTCCACTGAAGTCCACAGCATTGAACTCATCAAAACCTAAGAGTAGAAGATGATAAAACAGTTAAAACATATCTAAAAACACTGGAAGCTCTACCATTTAGCCATAACTGCAGCTCTTCTTTGAAGAACATACCAACAGCGATGCCTGGGTCACAGTTGACAGTCTGTACCAGTTCTTTTCCTTGATGGCGCACCACCCAGTTGGGATCAATCTGAGATGTTCCCTTGGGGTCCAGGGGTACCATCTGAAATTTGCGGAAATCTGTTTCGCTGATAGCGAAATTCTCCGGGCACACGTCGTAGATATCAGGAACATTGTCTTGGTCAAAGTCATATTTGCAAGCTTCACCACGGCCATCGCCTGGTGGTTAGAAGAAAGAGAAAGGTCAATTGTTATACATTTCATTTCTTAATGCAAGCAAAATCCTACATGGAGTTTTAAGTGGGTATTAATGAAGTTTATTGAATGAGTTTTTAATTTCTGGTTGACTCACCATCAGTGTCCAACTGATCTGGATTGTGCACCAGCCTACAGTTGTCTTTGTCATCAGGAATTCCATCATTATCATCGTCATGATCACAGGCATCTCCCTTGCCATCTTTGTCATGGTCAGCTTGGTTGGCATTGGGGATGTAGGGACAGTTGTCCAAATTGTTCTGATGACCATCTTCATCAATGTCCTGGTTGCTGTCGCACTTGTCTCCCACAAGGTCTGAGTCAGAATCGACCTGTAAGACAGATATAAATCATATTTTAGTAAAAGTAACAAAAAACATTAATACTTAATCCAGTGAAACCTTGTAACATGGTTAAGGTCTCCCTTTTGACTCTTTCATCACTCCAGGCGTCTAAGTCATTTAAAGTCGGGTTCCTTGCTGCTATTCGTTCTTTGAAAATCCTTCTGAGGTTCAGTGGCAGTGCATGCAAGCAGTACCTCTACAGCAAGTCTTGTAGTTAGTAAATTGGCAGGACTATACACAGATTCATTCATAATTACACGAAAGAGAAGAGATGTGAGCATTTTGTTCATCTCTCTCCCAGAGTAGGTTCTGCTGATCCTATACACTTCAGAACTTATCTGCTTTTCACTTCGGATGGAGGTCCCATGAGAAGACTGAGACACCCTTCATTAAGCCCCAGCACAGTTTTGATCCATAGAGATTGTGCAAGGATGGTTTTAGAGTATTGTACTAGTGAATAACATGCATTGCTCACTAGAACTTCACAAATGTTTTCTTCTATGCAATTTCCAAAAGTCTGTCCTTGAAGAAATGGTTCTACTTTAAATGCTACATTGTATATTTGTCTTTTACTCAGATGCGACCGGTTTTGTTTTTTATTTGCAAAGGAATTACGTTTGCATCTCTTTCTTTAAATATTCTGATATGGATCATCCATGTTGTACCTAAATATGAACTATAGATCACACACAAGGACCGTATTATCAAGAATAGAATAATATCAAGCTGTGTATTCGTGATTTTTTTTTTCCAAATTTCTCACAAATGTGATACACACTCACCTGATCTGGATTGTGCTCAAGAGGGCAGTTGTCACACTGGTCTCCAACTCCATCTAGATCAGTGTCTCTCTGGTCAACATTGTAGACGTATGGGCAGTTGTCCTTCTCATTCAGAATGCCTTTTAAAAATCAAGATAGTACAACTTTTAAATACCACCATAAAAGATGTAAAAGTCAAATTCAGTCATCTCATGCCACCTCTGGTTTGCTCACTGGGGGCTTTGGACAAAGGATAATGTAAAGCGCTTTGAAACATTGAAGTATACAAATAAAACTGAACTGAATTTAATTGAATCTTCACTTTGTTTATGTCGTGTAGCAGAAAGCCCTGTGACATCTTACCGTCACCATCAATGTCCACAGCACAAGCGTCACCCTCCCCGTTGCTGTCTGTGTCAGTTTGGTCAGGGTTGCTGTTGTATGGGCAGTTGTCGCAACGATCTCCAACATCATCGCGGTCATAGTCGTACTGCCTGGGGTTGTAGACGAACTGGCAGTTGTCCTGGTTTCAACAAAAGCATAGCTTAGACTACTGAAAAAAACATTACTTTTTAAGTCTGACCCCACTAACCATCACCCTTGTGAAGTTGACATATGGGAAGCTTGTAATTTAAAAACACATGATATCTATTCATAGGAAGAAAAATGAAAGCATAGGATAACTAGAAAGCGACTTTCAGGTTTAGCTTGGCAGTAACTACTGGTATGTAGAATTTAATGCTTGAATTAGCATTATGGCCGACATGAAACTACCACTCATTTATTTTGTTATTGCAGTTTTGTTACACATTGTGAATTATGAGGGTTTAACGGCATTAAATCTTTTGTTCTTGATGACATGATGCAGTATGCTGCAGTTTTGGGAATTTTATATGCAAGCTTTTATGCAACAGTTGTAGATCCTAGTGGGGACTGGTATGTTATTCTTATGAGCCGAAAGAGTCTTACCCTGTCGTCAGGAATGCTGTCATTGTCATCATCATTATCACAAGCGTCACCAACACCATCCTTGTCATAGTCTTCTTGCCCTGAGTTTGGAAGGTTGGGACAGTTGTCCTGAAAATGAAAATGAATTAGTGAGCGACGAGTGAGTCATATGTAACAAACAAGACCACGTATGCGGTGGAACACAGAGCAGGATTTTACTCAAAAATATACCTTCTTGCAGTGGTAGGTGGCATTCTCCACACATACAAGATCGGCGTTAGGCCAGCCATCCAGGTCAGTGTCCTCTCCACAGATGTGTCCATTCCCTGCATAGCCAGGTCTGCACTCGCAACGAAACATGGTTTCCGTGAAGTGCCCCAGGTAGATGCAGCGGGCATTCTTGTTGCAGTCGTGGCTTCCATCAACGCAAGGATTACGAGGTTCACAGGCCTGGCAGACGGATATAATGCCAATGTCAGCGTCCTGTCTGAGAAGGTTGTGCTTTTCACTATGTCGGGAATGGAACAATTTGGCTCTTACCTGCTTCTTAGCAGTGGCTTCCTCCACACCCCTGCCAAAAGGCTGGGATCCAGCATAACGAGTGGGACACGGTAGGCAATTGTACCCTGGTTCTGTGTTTTCGCACCGATGGACCCCATTGTGCACAAAGCATGCATCAGGAACCTCATTACACTGTGGGCAAAGAAATGCAATATTGAATTTCAGAGCTCCCTCGAGTCATTATCCATCGTAAATTAATATGACTGAATCTCCATGGAAGTTACCTCATCGATGTCTTTGCAGTTGATTCCATCTCCAGTGTAGCCAGTGGGACAGCTGCCACACTTCCATGAGCCATCAGGGAAACTGCTGCACTTGGCTCCAGCAAAGCAGGGGTTAGACAGACAGCCATCTGCGGGTTAAACCAAAGATATTTAGAACTCTGTACTCTGCGGGCGACCTGCTGAGATATTCTATTAAATTAATACCATTTTATACAGCAAGTAAGAGCACTTACCAATGGGGCAGTCCTGCTTGTTACACAGCTGTGTTGCCTTAGCATCACCTTGACATTCCTTGCCTCCATATTTGGGTGCAGGATCGTTACAGAGACGCTCACGCGTCTGAACACCTCCGCCGCAGGTAACAGTGCAAGTGTCCCACAGAGACCAGGGTCCCCAGTTGCCATTGACTGCAGGAACAAAAGGGCCGAGACATCAGCATACGAGGAATTCAAGAATGGACATGGTTTCTTCGGTTCATGGTTTGCGTCGGTCCCCTACATACTTGGGCAGTGTGGCTTCTGGCACGTCTCCGTCTCCCTGCCCTTTCCCACACAGTCCTTGCCGCCCATCTGTGGAGTCGGTGAGTTGCATAGGCGGATACGGGTGATGACGCCCTCCCCACACGTCACCGAGCACGAGGACCAGGGAGACCAGTGGCTCCAGCTGCCATCCTGCTTGACTGGTGAGTTGACAAGCCAGAGAGGGAGATTTAAAAACATGCAGAAAAAGGAACAAGGCCATAGTAGCGGGAGCAGAAAAGGGAATAAGGAGTCGGCCAAGTCACTCACATCTCTTGTCACATTCCTGGTAATAGCAGTCCCTCGTCTGCACAGAGGTGCCCTCACAGTTGTTATTGATGCGATCGCAGGAGCGGCCGCGCTGCTGAATGCCCCTTCCACAGGACACGGAACAATGGGTCCATTCAGACCAGGGGGACCAGCCGTCCTCAGCATAGTCACTTGCTGGAGAGGGGAGAGAGACAAAGGGTGAGCTATTCCTCCTTTCCAAAGCTTTAAAGAAAAGCTTTTAAAACGTGCCCCTAATGGGCTGCTTTTAGCACAGGCAACTTGAGACAAGCCACTCCATAGACTGTTCTGTGGAATATAAAGGGCCTAGATGCCAACAAGGAGTCAAGTGATAAAGTTTTGGCAATATCATGTACAAATAAATTTGCAAACATTATAAAGGTGATGTTCTTAAATAAATATCTTTATATATATGTCCCAGGAATTAATGAAATATTTATAGCAGTAGAGTACATCTAAATTATTTAATCCTACCTCTGTTATACAGCATCATTAAACACTTGATTGATAGCCCATCACAGCCTTACTTATACTATAATATGCATGCAACATAATGACTGCTGTTCTATATTTAACATCAATAACTTGTAATTATATATCTGGCAAATTAAAAAGATGCCAAGTCTATCAAGAGCAGTCAATTTTCAAGGGTAATTCTCTAATTCTACTGAAAGGATAATAGACATGAGCACTAACGGATACCGCAGCGAGGACAGCACTCTCCATCCGGAACAGTGGCATTGGCACAGGGCATCAGTGGGCAGGAAATCTCACGACATATGGTTGCAGAGTTCTGCAAAGAGAAATTCTGGAATTAGCAGCTGTGTGGAGGACTGTCTGCAGACAGGTCAGCTACCACGGGCATGCGGAAAAGCCGAACTGCTAATTTATCATCAAGCGGAAACCCCTTTGCTCCAGCTGGACTGTTTGTTGTGTTTGGGAACAAAGTAGTGATCTTTGACCAGTAGAACAGACTCCTGCAGAGCTGCATCTCCTGCCTATACACCTGCTTGCTGCCAGGGCACCTGGGATGGGGTGTGAGCATGCCAGTAGGGAGTGGTGGGGGGGGGGGTGGCTGAGTGGTGGCAGATATGACAGGGCCTACACTGCAGTGGTCTGTCAGCAGTCCCTTGCTGCCTCGACCTTTCAGGGAGGCCAAAGTGCTGCTATCGGTCTACATGCTCCATCTAATTAAACAGCCAAATTCCTGACGTCTGGCCAGCTTGGGTAACCTGCACGGCAGTTTACCATTAATGTGAATGACAACCCTGTCCAGCTGCTTTGCAGAATTACATTGTGATTTCTAATTAGAAGCAAAGTGTTGCTGAGAGCACAGACACATGCCTTGTCACAGAAGAGCCTCAGTCAGAGCTACATAAATGAAGGTGCCCTTGCAGAGTTAATTGCAGCGTCGCATTGTGGGATTTCTGCCATCTGCCTGTCAAACCAATTACAGGCCAGATTACAAAGCCTGTGCTCTTAAAGGATGATGAGTACCCCAGCACATACACAATTAGAACCTTACCTGGCAAGTACACTGAGTACAGCCATCTACTGTCCATTCCTCCCTGTTCTTGTGCTGAATGCCATTGTGGATGCAGATGCCGGTGTGTTTACGTATCTGGGATAGCAGAAAGCTGTTGTTTTGGGTCTGGAAAAAGCAGAAAGGAAGGACTGTTACTGGAGAAATAGGATTAATTGTCTGGATAAAGTTATTTGGATCTGTGCAGTACTGAATGCAGCTGAAACTGGGTGGCAGGCTTAGAATGGATCACAGTTAATAGGCAGAGTCATTCACACCCTTGTACATAAATCCCTTCAATTTTGTTCATATGGGGGGGGGGGGGGGGGGGGGGTTCCTTACCACTGTTTGAAGATCTTTAGTCAGCTGCTTGACAACCACCTCAAGTCCCCTGAGTTCCTTAAACATGCTGGCGAGATCCTCACAGGAAAATCCACAGACAGCTTGCAGATCTGCAGTGGCAAGACATTCCCTTCAGCCTCACTCGGGAAATTAACCATATTTAGTTCTTCAAAAAAACCTCACTTGGTACAGTATGTTACCTTTCGTTTTGTGGCCAATGTAGTCGGTCCTAATGGCTGGCCTGGACCCATTCACTGGGTTGTCCAGGGTAAAAGTATCAGTGAAGGTAGCTGGAGAGGGAAGGCACATAGGAATGTTTTAGTGGGATATCTAAAACAATCTCGTGTTAACATTCATTACCGTTTTTACTAGTAATTACTCATTAACTATTTACTCATTTATTACTCATTTTGGGTGACTAAAATAATTTCATGCAAGGCACTGCAGAGTCTCCTTATAATAACACGTGTAATAAAAACTTTAATAATTATTTCTGTGAACCTGAGCTCATGTGGTTGGAATCGCAGGTTTAGCGCTCCAGTACTAGTAGGCTTCACAGTTTCTTGTAAATCAATGCAAGCTCTTTAATATGACCAAACAATTTCTAATACGATTGAGGCATTTGCAAGTCAATACTTACAACTTTGACATCCTTTATTTCGTAGAATTGCGTCCAGAGTAGTTCCAAACACAAAGCGTACGTTCTGAAGCACTCCCTGTAGAAAGCACGCGTATTTAGACGTACAATCTATTTTAAAAAATCTTGGTACATTTTTCCGTTTATAATTTCCATTGTAAGTTTAACCATCTTGCCATTTGCTTACCATAAACTTGTCTTTCACTGCCCCCTTGCCGATCCTCAGACGCGCAACTGCCGGTACATCATGGGTTAGCATACTGTAAATTGGCACATCCATTTCCTCGGTGTTGATCTCTTCGCACCCCACGAACAACTGAACCCGGTCTTCCTGCACGAAAAGGGTGATGTTCTTCCAGTGGCTGGTCGCTAGGTCTGCATCTTCTATCGACACCACCTGTTGCTTGTTGTCCGTGGAATAAACCACGTCTAACGTATTTGCCTTGCCGTTCGAAACTATTTCGAATATCGGTCCGGATCCATCCGTCTTTTCCACGGTCAAAAGACTTCCCCTTGTCCTCTTGAACTGCTTGAAGGTGACCAAGAGAAGAAATCCCCTCTCTGCATGTATGGAGTCAATCAAGTCCCTCAAGGTGGTCTCGGGAAGTGGGGGTATCAGGTCCGGGTTCAGAATCTTATAAGCGGGGCTGTATGGATCTGGTCCTTTTACTAAGGTCACCCCATGGTTCTTCTTATGAACTCGAACTAACTCGAACAAGTCGTATACACTATTATCATCTCCGCTCTCTGAAAAACGAAAAATAACAGTTAGTGTCATGTCAGGAGAAAAATGAAAACTGTTATATTTCACTGGATTTATGCAATAATAACAGCCAACCCTTGGAGTAAATGGAGTGGGGAAAACGCTGAAGGTTACAGTTACGCTTATACTCATTTACCAAGTTTGATATTCTCACCTGCCACTCTGCTTCCGTCACAGCTCAGAATCAACAACCACAAAAAAAGCAACGACCGCTTCATTCTGAGACTTCACTTCTTTGAATGTCTGAAAAATAAAACGTTCAAACGATACATTTAAAAAGAATATTTTAATTACCCTCAAAATAGCCTATATTAATCAAAACCCATATGAACAAAATACATATGAAATATAAATTGAACGACACATATAATTCATTGCAAATTAATCAAAATGAAAAAATATTCGTCCACCTACCTGTGCGAATAAAATAATTCAGCACTCGTAACAGTAAATCCAAATTTAAGAGAAAGTCCTTAGGGTTCAAGTTCTCGCAGCCTCTGTTTGGGCTTCAAAAAGTCCAAGTGGCAGTATTTAGTACTGCGTTTTATTATAAAAAAAAAAATAAAAATAATAATAACTTTTCCTTCTTTGCGCGACCTTTTTTCTGATGCTCAAACTTAACTAACCAGCGAGGACAAAGTGCTATTTAAATAGTTTCATGACATTCCTAAGATCCTGTCTCCACCAATCAGAAGCTGGCAGGAAAAAGGGACGAGCTTATGCATTTACCTCACAACGCGGAGTAAAATATCTGAGACATATACGTCAGAAGAAAAGACAAAGAAAAAAAGCGAAGCATTCCAGAGCTGAAATTCCGTAACCAGATTAATATTTTATAGAGATAAACGCGCCAAACCATTGCTTCCTGTTAAAAGTACATCATCTGTCTGAAATTTCCTTTGCATTTTATTGTAATATTAGTAAGCTTTCATAGCAGTCTTCGCAGATGAAAATTTTATAACAGAACTTTCCCAGTTAAAGTCATTTAACTTGAGTTAATTTAAACGAGCTTACAAAGTATAGCGAGAGAACGGATGTTTAGGGTCACAAGGTGCTTCATTGTTACTCAATCTTATAGTTCTTATAAAAAAAAATAGAGTCCCACATCAGGAGAGGGTTCCGGAGAAGGATGCAGCGCCGACCATGCGCTGCTATTCACCCTTAGTCCGTTAGAGGCCGTTGGGGGAGCTTCTGTGAGGAGTGAAATTTTAATACTTCAAATCAAGAATACATTCAAACTACTAAAACGTGAAAATGCTTTTAATGTTTGTATGTATGTATGTACTTCCAAATATATTTGCACGTCGTATTTGTTAGATGTACAATATGCTGTATTTATGATAGGCCTATTAAAGTATCGTTTAAATTTGTAAAGTTTTATTAACTTAATAAAATGTGCTTTGATATGCAGATTTGTTGATAACAGGTGAAGTCAGGGGCGCCGTAAATGGGAGGACAGTTAGGATGATTCCAAGGGTCCCTGAGCAACAGGGGCCATAAAAAAAATAGAACGTAATATGATTAGTCTGGGGTGGGACCCGATATCATATGCTTTCATGAGGCCCAAATCTCTAATGACCCCCCCCCCCCCACACTTTTCCACTCAACTGTCAACTTCCATAGAATTTCTAAGCAGGTTAAAGGTATGTGTGACTCATCTATCACTGTAAGCTGCACTTCCAGCATGTCAATCACAGGCTGAACTTGAGTAAGACTCCACAGCCAGGCAGTTACATGAATTTTTCTCTTCTCCAAAGGAACCAGTATAATGGTCCAGTACAATGGTCCAGTACGGACAATAAACTGGGAATGTGGTGCGGAAAGCAGCAGATATTTTACAGAATTTGAAATAAATCTTAATGCAGTGGTGGATCAATACAGCGCTAGTGACTGCATGGAGATTCTGTGGATGGGCAGGAGGGGGCAGCCATTAATGTTGGTCTTTTGCATGACTTACATCAATAAAAATGTGCTCTTAGATAGTACAAACAATGACACAATTCCGTCACCTGACCTCACGGAATGCAGAAATCACACTCTTCAATATAACACTTCAATGTGTGAAAAGTTAAACAGACAATAAGCAGGTAGCGAATGTAAGAGAAGTTGTTAGTTTGTCCAAATTGAGTGTATGAATGTGTAGATGCCCTGTGATGTACTGGATGCCATCAAAGGTTTACCCCTGCCCTCCTCTGCCTGGAACAGTCCCCCTGCATTCGATCAGTGGTTGGAAGATGGATGATGCAGTTTAATATCCTATGATTTTGCAGCTGCTGTAAAAACATGTTGAGTTTTGCACCAACAATGCAAAGGTTGTGGGTTCAAATCCCAGCGAGCACCCATAAACTCTTCTCTCTACAGTAAGCGGTATTGGATAAAAGTGTCAGATAAAATGGACAGATCTTATAATTATTCAATATTTTTATTCTGTTTTATTTTACAATTGGAAAATATGTACCTTCATGTTAAAGATGTACTGTATATGTATGTCAATTTTTTTCATAGAGTTAGCAAGACATGCTGTGTCTAATTTAGGACTTGAGAGTTTCCTTAGAAACTGCTAGGTGAAAGGTCATGGGGGGGGGGGGAGGGGCAGTTAGCAACGGGACAGATGTGGATGTCCTGAGGTGCATCTGCTAGGCCGCGTCACTGATCTGGCAGAGCGGCTGGGGTGGAAGCAGCGAGTCCAGCACGAAGCGTGCCAATCCATGACGAAGACCTGTGCCGGAAGAACTCCATAAATAGCGTTTATACTCCGGCACTCTGCTACTCACAGGATTTTTGATGTGTAATTTGGTTTGTAGGAAATTGTGATATTTGTCATAGTTCACATATATATTGTAAAAGAGTGTCGTTTTTATAAAAGGGACGCCGATTCTCTCCCAGTGGTAACCTTTACAGGGTGTCCGATCAGAACACTGGGTTTATTTGCCTACCTCTGACAGGTTATTACACTTATATATTATAGTTGGATAGTAGCGCATCAACACACCACCCATAAAGCAGTACGGATGCTCGTTGGGGGATTATGTAATTGTGGTTTACTGAAACAAAAGTAAAAACAGGAATCAACATATTACTACCGCTCACAGGTAACATAGTTTTATAAACATTAAACAAATATAGATACTAAATAATATTAAGCATTTGTATTACAAAACACAAATAACCATACAATACTCTTAAACCGAGATGCATTAATACAGCAAAACGCGAAATTTTAAATTACCAACACATAAAACAATAAACATTTGCTCCGGTTACAAAGTATAGTTCAGGTACGAATGAACTGCAGACTTACTCAGCATGCACGCACAACTACAACATAAACCCAACAATACTTTGTAGGACTACAGCGTTGATCTCTGCATCCAGCCTAAAGGAAAGAGAAGAAGAAGAAAAAAAAACAACGTGGGGTCCTGCGTGATGCCTCCAATGGCCGAAATAATGCCTGCTCAAAACACTGTGCAATTAACAAACCACTCACTTAACAGCCTTTTCTACATATATATATATATATATATATATATATATGTGTGTGTGTGTGTGTGTGTGTGTCTTTATATCTGTGTCACATTTTGTCATGTCTGTCTTGTGTTGTGAAAAGGAGCAGGGGCACCATGCGTTCCAAGAAGGACAGTCATGTACTCATAAATGTTTGTACTCTTCCACCTGTCTGTCGTTCCTAGTGTTTATATGTATATATTAATGTCTTCTGTTTTTGTTTACCCCATAACACCAGACCAAAGACCTTTCCTTTCAGATCAGACCCAAACATCCAAACAGCAGCGTGTCTGAATGCAGTGCTCCCCCGCCAAAACTGTAATTTGACAATGGCTGATTTGGGAAGGCTCTTTTTTATTGCTCCATTGCCTCCTTATTCCTGCCTGACCCGGAAAAGGGAATCCCACATAAAACTAGTGTCACATGCATGTCTTTGCAATGCCTTCCTGGCTTTCCCACAAGTGCACACGCTCACATGTATATAATGTTGACCAGACAGCGGTGACAGGATACACTGCTTGGCCAAAGGAAGAATAATTAATTAAAATGAAGACATATCTGGGTTATAGATTGAACTGTAAAACACTTGAAAACAGAATAAGCCCAGTGACCAGAATCAACAAGTGAGTCTTGGGGGATTTCTGCAGTAGGCTACTGAAATACCTACGCTGTCAAACACTTAAGAAAGAGACCTTTTCTCCCATTATGACTTACTTACTGCTTATATACACTTTCCCATTCAGATATTACAAGTGTGAAGCACGCGATGATGGTAGTAGGTGGATCTTGTTACTTTAAATTTGTTTCTTTAAATATCCGATGGTCTGAAAATAGCAACTTTATGTACTTGTCTGGAATTTGCTGCTGTCATCTGCAAGTGAAGCAACATTGATTGCTCTTGCAGAACACCATGGTTTAATGCTGGCTGCATTACCGGATCCTTAAGTTTCAGACATTCTCTGGCATTTATGAAGCAGATAGTCAGATTGGTCATGGGCCAGTGTTTGTGTTGAGGGTACAACCTTAGCGGGCCATTGAAGGTGACCATGTTGGTTGCTTTAAGGTGGCTGCATTTGGAGACCTGTCTCAATACTTCTCATCATTTGCTGGCTGTAAAAATTAATCAGTATGCATTTGTCATGCAAGTGATTGTGGTGGTGTTCTACTGTGGTTTTGATTATAAAAGAGGAAGACATTAATTAGAACTAGAAGCTGGGAAAAAGAAAAAATGGTAACACTTCAGGCCATGTTATTAGTAATTTATAACACATTCATAACAAATAACAATGCATTCATAAAGCATTATAAACATGGCTATAAATATTTATAAAAATGCATAACACATTATAGCCATGTTTATTATGCATTATGAATGCTCTATAAAGCTGTCATCTATAATGCACTATAGAAACCTCTATAATGCATTATAATGGTCGGTATAAGAATTAACGATGCTTCATACTGCATTATGAAGGTATTATAGTGCATTATAGATTATCATCATAATGCATAATAGACATGGCTATAATGTCATGTCTTTTTATAAATACTTACAGGCATGTTTATAATGCTTTATGAATGCATTATTATTTGTTATGAATGTGTGTATAAATTGCTAAAAACATGGCCTTAAGTAAAGTGTTACCGGAAAAAAAATTCTTAAAAACATGCCTTTAACGGCTTTGCAGGGTGCCGTGGGGCTTACTTTGGACCCAGTGCCAAAAAGGTTACTATGAAGAAAACAAGTTTCAGCTGCTTTCTACAAAACATGCTTACTAACATCTTTATTGTTATCCTGGCTTTTTAAAAATGTAGCTTTTTATCCAAGGCAAACGGTACAGCTTTTAGCATATAGCATTTTACACTTTAAACAGGTAGATATTTACTGAGTCAGTTCAGCGGAGGTTGTTTCTCAGCTGTGCATAGGTCCGTTATCTGGACTTGGTACAGCCGCTTGACCACCTCCTGTCCAAATATGGTTAAGTACAATGTCCTTTGTTGTTTTTGTAGAGAGTAAACTATTGACAAACCTGGACTGTCAGCAGACGACAGCTGCAGCACATTGTAGTAAGTCTGATTCTTTTAGGTGACTGTCATAATTCTGTAGTCATGACAGCAGCCGGCG